AAACATCACTGAGTGTTGATACTTGAACTTATACACATGTTTGATTTAACTCTGGGGATCCCGATTTCTCAACATGAACAGTTCGGCCATGGTTGCTGTTTTTCTCATCACCTGGAAAGTACATGTGCTGTTGCACCAAAACATACTTGACAGTTGTTCATCCGAAACTGGGACTCTTCCAATGGGTCATGGTCACTAGGTACAGTGTTCCAAACCAGTATTTACAGTTTTGCTGTGATCCAGAGAATATTTGTTTGTTTTTACTTAGCGTTATTCCAGTCATATGGCAGCGGCTGTAAATAATTGGGTCTGGACCAGACAATCCAGTGATCAACAGAAGGAGTAACGATTTACGCAATTGATATACGATGACGTGTCAGTGAGTCTGACCACCCGATTCTGTTAGTCGCCTCTTACGACAAGCATAGGTTGCTGAAGACCAACTCTAAACCTGATCTCACGTGTCAGAGAATATTTGAAATGCCCTGGAAATACAACTTCTCATGAGTGGAGTAAGTTTACGATATTAGGGTATGGGTGACCCAGTGTTGAGGTGCTTCAGTTCACAGTGTTGAGTAGCATCCTTTGAAGCCTATGATCATTCATTCCACCAAGCTGACGCGAGGATATATCACAAACTTAGCCATGCACTCACTCACTCTTGTAGTCTCTCATGCATTCTCTCCTTTCCCCCCAATTCTTCTTATGCTATGTAAAAAAAGAACAGTCCAAAATTAGTTGTGGATGTGTTGGTGTGAACTTGAGGAGTACATCCCTTCCAAAACGTGTTCTGATCAGTGTTACCTCACCAAACAAGTCAATGTCAAGTGTATATAGTAATGTTTTCCTAGGTAGGAAATGTCACAATGCCCATAGTGCTATTGGTTATATTAACAAATGTGTAAACATAACATAGAATCCTACACTTCAAGGGGCCACTCTCCTGGTGGGAATATTTCCATTTTAAATGGTTACCCAAAAATATGTGCTGAATTATTTAAGTTGGTGAACTGTAAAGACTACAGTATTCATCTTCGATGATTGTTTTGGACAAAGTCAAGTGTGAAACGGTTTCCTTTACCGATAGGCCCTACAACATGTACAAGTGTTTAGCATTCCCTGCTCTGTAAAAAGTATGGCCCAGCTCAAGTTAACTGAACAGTTCCTTGAGCCACAGTTGCAGTTTTCTCAGAGTGCTTGACATTAATACATCGTGCATGCTTAGCTTACTGTCTGTGTCAAAACTCCCCAAGCAGTCAATGTTTTCATTTCAGCCACTTACTTCCAGTCTAAGAGCTGTGAGTTGTGCATGTTCCACGGTACTTTTCCATCGCTTTCTGTCAGATTCATTGATTTTTTTTCACACTTATGCTGCAGTCAAGGAGTGTGTTATATAGGAAATATTTGATTTTGAAAAAAGGGGTGCAAATCTTTTGGAAAGGTTTTTTTGTACCACATATAATGAAGCATTAAAGGAACCTTTGAAAGTATTGAAGTTAAAGCTTGTGGATTATAACCAGGATTGAATGTCTGATGACATGGTAGAACTGAGGTGCCTAAAAGTTGCTCAGTGGGAAAATTAACTTTGTATAAAGACTGAGGTGCACTATAGCCAAAAAGGAGCAGTTGAAATGGAACATGCTGACATGTTCTTGTGGTGAGTCAGTTGGTCTGTCAGGAGGAACATGTTGATATGTTCTTGTGGTAGGTCTATCAGGAAGAACATGTTGATATGTTCTTGTTGTGAGTCAGTTGGTCTGTCAGGAGGAACATGTTGATATGTTCATGTGGTGAGTCAGTTGGTCTGTCAGGAGGAACATGTTGATATGTTCTTGTTGTGAGTCAGTTGGTCTGTCAGGAGGAACATGTTGATATGTTCTTGTTGTGAGTCAGTTGGTCTGTCAGGAAGAACATGTCGATATGTTCTTGTTGTGAGTCAGTTGGTCTGTCAGGAGGAACATGTTGATATGTTCTTGTTGTGAGTCAGTTGGTCTGTCAGGAAGAAACATGTCGATATGTTCTTGTTGTGAGTCAGTTGGTCTGGTCAGTTGTCAGGAGGAACATGTTGATATGTTCATGTGGTGAGTCAGTTGGTCTGTCAGGAGGAACATGTTGATATGTTCTTGTTGTGAGTAGTTGGTCTGTCAGGAGGAACATGTTGATATGTTCTTGTGTGAGTCAGTTGGTCTGTCAGGAGGAACATGTTGATATGTTCTTGTTGTGAGTCAGTTAGGTCTGTCAGGAGGAACATGTTGATATGTTCTTGTTGTGAGTCAGTTGGTCTGTCAGGAGGAACATGTTGATATGTTCTTGTTGTGAGTCAGTTGGTCTGTCAGGAGGAACATGTTGATATGTTCTTGTTGTGAGTCAGTTGGTCTGTCAGGAGGAACATGTTGATATGTTCTTGTTGTGAGTCAGTTGGTCTGTCAGGAGGAACATGTTGATATGTTCATGTGGTAGGTCTGTCAGGAGGAACATGTTGATATGTTCATGTGGTAGGTCTGTCAGGAGGAACATGTTGATATGTTCTTGTTGTGAGTCAGTTGGTCTGTCAGGAGGAACATGTTGATATGTTCTTGTTGTGAGTCAGTTGGTCTGTCAGGAAGAACATGTCGATATGTTCTTGTTGTGAGTCAGTTGGTCTGTCAGGAGGAACATGTTGATATGTTCATGTGGTAGGTCTGTCAGGAGGAACATGTTGATATGTTCTTGTTGTGAGTCAGTTGGTCTGTCAGGAGGAACATGTTGATATGTTCTTGTTGTGAGTCTGTTGGTCTGTCAGGAAGAACATGTTGATATGTTCTTGTTGTGAGTCAGTTGGTCTGTCAGGAGGAACATGTTGATATGTTCATGTGGTAGGTCTGTCAGGAGGAACAAGTTGACATGTTCTTGTGGGGAGTGTTGACACGTCAGTTGACTATCATCCATTTATTGCGGCACATGCTCATTGCCAACTTTTTGTATGTCACTGTTCAGGGCTATGTAGTGATGCGGACAAAATTGTGAAATTGAAACATGTTTATGATTTGTAGCCAAGCGCAGCAGAAGCACATTGGTAAATCCGCACTACACACAGGCAGATGGGCGGATCCATAGCTGCCTGAAGTGACATCCTGAAAACGCTATGAATCATTTACAAAATACTGCAGTTACACCTTTTGTTAGCCTTGTTAGTTCTGGATTCAGTGCCTCGCTGAGATCGCAGTGAGTTACTGATTACAAATCAGTGCAGATTTTATCGGCATGTACATAAACCAGGACCAGCTACAGAGTGATAAGATATAAATATTGACTGCTAAACAGTAACACTGTCATAAAGATCTTGTTTATTTCCAGTGTTTAAAACAGCATGCCTAACATAATGTGAGTCAATAGCAAAGATTGAGCACAGATGTTCAAAAGATAAAATCATATCGATCATGTTGATCGGGCGAGTCTTGTAATATTGCAAATAATGGCAGTTTTATTTGTGTCTATGGCAGGCATGTTTTGCGGTACATATCTGTAATGTAAAGGGTGTTTGATGTTCACATGGCATATTTCCAACTTTTCTCCAGGCTAGATTAACTTCATGTGGTAAAAATGTTCACTGTTGCCACTCACTCACTCACTCAATCATTGCTTGTATCATTTTAATCAGTCTCATTATCAAGGTTATTTACCTTCAGTTATGTTGTAAACATTCCCTCTGGATTATGGTTGCCTTTTCTCTGTGGTTACCACTGAGGCAAACAGAAATGGAAATGAAAAATTAAACTAAGTCACAGTTATCCCTAGTGGTATGCCCGTATATTTAAGTGATTATCTCCCTTGGCTGTGATGTCACAGATTGACTGTTTGAAAACTCTCATAATTTTTCTGTATGGAACACGCACAAGACGTGTGACAGATCGGAAGTGAAAAGTTAAAATTCTTCTTCAAAGTTCTTCAAGGATCATCTATAGAAACTTATCAGTATTGTCGCATTGGTTATCTTGAACAATGGCATTTATAACCTTTCTGTAAATTGCCTAACTGACTTGTGCTACGGATTCAGTTTTCCTGTGCAAACTAGTCGAAGAGTAAATGTCTACAATGCCAGAAATTTATGTCTGATTTGGATCCCCATTCTCTTTGCACTGCATGTCTCGTGGGACCTTCTTGTACATTTCAAGATAGATGCCTTCTTTGTCAAGAATTATCTAGAGAGGACAGGATTAAAATTAACCTTATTCGCTCTTTGCCTAAGAAACAGGTCGAAGCTTTCCTCTTCTTCTGACCCCTCAAAACGCACAAGCGTCTGACCCCACTATTATAACCTCTACTCAGCAGACTTTTATCATTTTAATCAGTGTCAAGGTTATTATTTAACTTTGATGTAATGTTTGTTATGTCTTAAGTGTGGACACTCAGTGTTCAGTATTGCCACTCATTCAAGCACGTACTCATTGTTTGGATCATTGTAATTACTTTCAACTGATCAATATTGTTATTCTCCTTTGATATGATGTCTGTTACGTGATTGGTGTGGAGGTCTCTCTGTCATATTTTAAGTTGTGAACTTCCTGACCATAACTAACAGAACAACTACGCATTGAATTCAGTCAATTACAAGATTGTGTTTGAACATTATATGAATGTTAGTACTGAATTGATAGTCTCTAAATTTTATTTGAAATCGAACGCGTAGCGTAAAGGTATGAAATGATTAATCAAATTAATAATTGTGGAGGAAAAAATTATATAACTGTATTTTACGACTTTTCAGAAATGTTTTATTGTTTACATTTCCATCATGTCTGTTGTGTTGATATCAGCCATGTTGGTGGTCAAGCTGAAGTAGGGTGACAGTCTTGTGTACGTTCTCAGTGAAGCGGTCATGAAAACAGACACGTTTTCAATCAAAATTGATAGTGTCTAATTTTATTGATTGTCCAATCAAATTCGAATATTTCATGTAGTCATCGTTGCCTTTGTATTGATATCCACCAAAGTACTCACTGAAATGTTTTTGTTCTCAGGCTCAACTAGTGGACATGCGGTCTGACATCGTTGAAATACAAGCTGCTAAGGCTGTGATTGAGAAGGAGCTCCACACACTGTTGCTGCAGCTACACTCCTCACAGCTCCAGATGCAAGCACTCAGAGGCATGGAGGTGGATTCAGAAGACATCAAGCGCAAGCTGGTCAGTACGCAGCCAACATTAATATTGGGATCAGTGATGGCATAAAACCATGGAATATGTTGTGTTGTTACAGCATTATGCTTTGTTTAATCACCATCATTTGTTGCCAGATGTTCAGCGACCTGTTTCAGTTACTGCTTTGCGATATATCCTTTCATTCTGAGTCAACCCTTCTGACATTTTAAAGTCACTTTGATGTCCATAAGTTAGGTTTTGTCTCAATTTGGCTGATGCCACAACTTCGTTTTTGAGACACCACCAGTGCTTGAACACCTCAGGGTCAAAGTCTCCTTTGTAGCCGTGGGACACTTTTGTGACACATCAATCAGCCGTGTCAAGGGTCTAGGTCATTCTCAAGGTCATGGAAATGTTTGTTTTTGAAGCAGTTACTGCAGGTCAATGAAAGCTGGTACAATGAAAGCTGGGACTACAGTTCTGAAAAGGTTATAGCGGAGTGGGGTAGCCTAGTGGTTAAAATCTGAAAAGTTCGATTCCCCACATGGGCACACTGTGTTAAGCTCTTTTCTGGTGTCCCCCGCCGTGATATTGCTGGAATATTGCTAAAAGCGGCGTAAAACTATACTCAGTCAGTCAGTATAACGAACACGGTTATTACAAACTTATCACCGACACTAACTGTAATTTTTTAGTCAAAATTGGTTAACAAACTATGTGTATAATGAAATACAATTAGTGGTTCCAGTGAGTTCTTTATAACTGAAGTTTACTGTACTTTCATCTGACATTGAAGGTCAAATTCCCTCTAAATTACATGCACTCAAAATGTAGTATGTTCATGGTAACTCGAGTGTTTACTGTTATAGGATGGAGTTTTATTAATAGCATTTTAGACTGATGCATTGAAGTAGGATTTGAATGAGGTCAAGGTAATTACTTTTCATGTATAGGTAGTAGTTTCATGTAAGGATTTGAATGAGGTCAAGGTCATTACGTATCATTTCATAGGTAGTAGGTTCATGTAAGGATTTGAATGAGGTCAAGGTCATTACTTATCATTTATAGGTAGTTCCTCATTTTTGTCTTCTGAACCAACCACCTGACTTGTTTGTGAGATTTAGTGGCCATATTTTTTTTCTAGAAATAATCAAGCATGTGACGCTGAAACTGGAAGTCATACACATTTCTTTGAGGAACAGGACTTTCTGTTTTAAAGCTGTGCTCCATTAGTGATGTTTCTTCCAAAACCTAAAGAAAAGTTATTCTTTTTAACATAGCTGGAGGCATGAAACTTTGTGATTTAAAGCTATCTTGCAGTGGACCATGAGTTCTATAAATAAAATGGAAATACTTTCCTGTCAGTATAGTTGGAGACAGGGGACTTTATCATTCAGCGTTTTAAGTCCAGCAACTGAACAGCATTTGATTTTAGTTTGACTTTCATATTACGGAAGCTATAGGAATAAGTCTTTCTGGTTTTGAATTGTACAGTATTGGTCATGTTCATCCAGTTCCAGAACCAATGGTGTATGAGCTTGTACTTATAGTGCATATCAATAATTTCTGGATATATATAGCTGCTAGACTTGTGATGCATCATTAAGCACCACTTCACTATGTTATGTCACCAAAATAAGGTAATGGTATCTCACTGGAATTGAGTGGTGGTATGTAAAGATTTCTCAGACATTCAAGAAATGGCAGTGAAGGAGCTGCTTTGCTTTTTAACTTTCTACTTATACACTTATGATATTTTATGCATGTATTTGTGGTTGCTGTTCATTTTAATTTCTTTATGGAAAATTCGTCCAATATTGTTTTTGAAGATCTAGCATTGTCCAAACTTAACTGATAGATCTAAGGCTTAATACGCTTGAACGTCATTAAAGCAGACATATGCGTCTCAGATCTGTGAAGGTTTTCTAACAGGAATATAGTAAACGTGGATGTGATTTCATTTGTTTGAAACCAAGTTTATCGCAGACAAGTCTGGTTTGATTTAGTTGTTAGGAAAACTGTTCTGCATGTTGTTGCGTTAATGTGCAGGTTAGAGTCTTTGTTTAATTGGATACATGCTACATAAACAAAGGTTAAATTTGTGGAGATTGAATTCTTTTTAAAAACGACTGCCACAAATACCATGCTGGCACTGGTGCAGACTATTTGGCACATGACAGGATGAATGCTGGTTTGAAACGTAAAGAAGTGAAGTTTTCAAGAACATTTAAAATAGAAATATCCCCCACATTGGTATGGAGGATTGCCTCCAAGCCTGGGCGGGCTGCACGTAGGGTACATTCTTCTGTCACCGTGTTGTGTTACGGAGGGGAAAAAATCATAAACAATACAGGATAGGGATCAGGAAGCTGGCATCAAGTAGTAGGTCTCCAGCTATTGCTTATGCTTGGATTTGAGATCTTCATGTGATGATTTGCAAGATGGGTATTTGTTTAAAGGAAATCTCATGTGAACTATACTGCAGTGGTAAATATTAAACATGAATGTTCCCACTTCAGGGTAAATTGTCGGTAAGGTTGTCACTTTCACATATTAAGGGGGCTTCTGGGAGATTGGTACCATTGCAGTTGGTTGCATAACTGTACCTGGAGGTAACTGGGCCTAACACACTTGTTTTCCAACACTGGATAGTTGAGTACATGGGTCTTGAGCTCCGTGGGTTGTTTGGAGGTGACTGGAGCTCTTCCTGGAAGAGACCAAGTCGCCATAACTGCATGGTTGTTTGGAGGTGACTGGAGCTCTTCCTGGAAGAGACCAAGTCGCCATCACTGCATGGTCATTTGGAGGTGACTGGAGCTCTTCCTGGGAGAGACCGAGTCTCCATCACTGCATGGTGGAGGTGCCATCACTGCATGGTTGTTTGGAGGTGACTGGAGCTCTTCCTGGGAGAGACCGTGTCTCCAACACTGCATGGTCGTTTGGAGGTGACTGGAGCTCTTCCTGGGAGAGACCGTGTCTCCAACACAGCATGGTTGTTTGGAGGTGACTGGAGCTCTTCCTGGGAGAGACCGAGTCTCCAACACAGCATGGTTGTTTGGAGGTGACTGGAGCTCTTCCTGGGAGAGACCGAGTCGCCATCACTGCATGGTTGTTTGGAGGTGACTGGAGCTCTTCCTGGGGAGAGAGAGCCGAGCTCTTCCACTGACACTGCATGGTTGTTTGGAGGTGACTGGAGCTCTTCCTGGGAGAGACCGAGTCGCCATCACTGCATGGTCTTTTGGAGGTGACTGGAGCTCTTCTTGGGAGAGACCGAGTCTCCAACATAGCATGGTTGTTTGGAGGGGATTGTTTGGAGTTCCTGTAAACAACCTATACATCATCATTTTAAAACCACACAACTGAATGTAAAGAAACTCTGTGTGAAGGTTCCTGGTTATGAAGGCTTTGATGTTCATTCACTGCAGCTATTTGGTCAGAGGTCTGCTGATTGTATGTCATTAAACCACTCCCATCAGTGGTTTCCAGTTGACATGACTGTCTTCTCCAGTTGACTCTATTTATTATACTCCCAAACGTATTGATTGGTTTAAAATTTGATGGGTAAATTTGTTATTTGAAGTTCAGATTTCACGTGATTTTCAAATCTAATAACAAACATGGCTTTTTGATTCTCAAAAAAGTCATAAATGAAAGGGGTCTAGGAAATTACTAGACCCAGGAGACCGGAACCTTAATGGACATGGTGAAGACCATGTGTACTCTCCAACGTATTGGGGAATTCAGACTGGGTATCAAATATGCTGCTTCTCAGGTGGTCGTCAAAAGCTGATCACCATTTTGTAGCAGATGAGAGTGTTAATGGAAGGTAAACAGCCTAGAGTTTGAATGTCTCTTTACTCTGTGGCTTTATTGTTTGTGGTGACAGCATTGTAATCTACTCAATGAGGTCTAGATAATGATATTTTTTTTAACAAAACTACCAACCGAGTAAATGAAGAGACCTGTACAAGGTGACAGGTTTATAATCTACCACCATTATTTTGAGTGTGGGTGATATGCTGAATTTTCCAGGTCACAGATGGAGGAATACTGTAGCCTTGTTGCCCTCTGTTCTCCATATTCGACACCTGTGACGTTCTGGGTTAGAATTGATCTTCAGTAACCCATGCTTGTCGTAAGAGGTGACTAACGGGATTGGGTGGTCAGTCTCGCTGACTTGGTTGACACATGTCATCGTATCCTAATTTGTAGATCGATGCTCATGATGTTGGTCACTAGATTGTCTGGTCCAGACTTGATTATTTACAGACCGCTGCCATGGCTGTAATATTGCAAGTGCAGTGTAAAACTATACTCACTCACTCTCCATATTTGACAGCCATTGTGGCCACCTCATGCCCTTTCTACAAAGCAGTCTTAGTTCTAGGATTGTCATAGGTTTAAGGTATGAGCTTAGGGATCATTTTGGCTCTGAGATCACTTTGAGAAACAGGACAGATGCCTATTTAGTCATCTGCTGGGTTAAATATTTGGTACTGGAGAAACCCACGGAACGATAAATAACAACCACCTTTCTGCAATTTGGTTCATACTGCGTTTCACTGTTGAATTAATTTTTGTTTTGCAGGAAAATGAATTGGAGTCAAGAACAGCAGACTTGATGGGAATGGCTCGTCTTGAGGTTGAAATGAAGGAGTTAAGAAAAGAAAATTCTGAACTAAGGCAGTATATTCTTGCCCTACAGAGTGAGGTGTACGGTGCCAGGTTAGCAGCAAAGTACCTGGACAAGGAGCTTGCAGGAAGGTGGGTAGTATTGTAGGGGAGTTCAGCCATGCTTTTGTTCCAGGTTTGACCTGGATGGTCGGTGGGTGGGGTAGTCCCACTGAATCTATTAACTCGGCTCACGCTGAGGCCTGGCCTGGATGATGGGTTGGGGTTGCCTCACGCCAAGGTCTGACCAGAACACCCCACTAGTACACTGGACTCATGAAAGAACACACCTACAATACACCTGACTCTGACCAGAACACACCATCAATAGACAGAACTCACTCCAGAATGCACCAACATATGCTGTATTCACTCCAGAACACACCTACGGTACACCTGACTCCTGAAAAACACACTGTTCTATTCAGGATCAGCCATTTTATGAATGTTTGATTTCTGTTACAAAAGTTATTATTTTTCCTTAACCTGACTCATGCTAATTATGCTTGTCTCCTTTCTCGTGCGAATGATAGTGGAACACTTGAAATCCCTTGAAGTTCCCTTCTAAAAAGCGGACGCCAAATCACTCACCCTTAAGTAGTCTCCCTTTCCTCTCTTTTGGCACCCTTTTTGGTCACATGACCAGCAATGTTTGTCACTCTCTCCTTCTTCGCCCTTGAGGATGGTTGTGAGAGCACATGGGTCCCTATACGGCACATATCCTTTTATATTTTCGGACCTTACATCCAAATTATTGCTGTATACGTTTTTTAGGATTATTATTCTACATTACGGTTTGAAATTTGATTTAATTTTCCGTTGTTTGACATGTGTTTTCATTGTGTTTACATTTGATGAAAACCTGTATTCGTTGTGTAGGTACCGAGTGTCTGCGGCTGACCCTCATTTCTTATGTCCAAATTGCACTATTTCATGTTCTTTCAGCTCTCGCTGTAAGTTTTGTGTAAATTTAACCTCTGTTGAATTTACTAATTACCATTGTTCCATCCATAGACGATCTGAGGACTGGGTACAAAGGTATTCACAAGTCATATCTAAATCGAGTGATTGCGCTGATAGCTGTGTGTTAACCACTGCTGCAGACATTCATATTTCCAGTGAATTGCCGAATGTTTCTGGGGAGCAGGTCGTTGTACCAGTGGTGAACACCAGAGGCCATAAGAGATCATCGTCTACTGAGCTGACCTCGTTGCAGATGAAGAAGGCTAAATCATCTTCTACTCAGAAGAAGAAGGCTACTACCATGAAGACTTCATCTAAGTCTATGCTCAGCTCTACGCAGAAGACGAGGTCTTTCTCAGCCGAGATTGTTCCTTTGGAAGAAGCAGACGTTTATGATGATCCACCCATCCTCATACCTGAAGTCTCCATCGTCAGTGAGCTTCTACAGCTACATCGGCATTGTTATCAGCACAGACATTGACAGAAGACCTTCTATCAATGCAGACATCGGGTTCCAGAGATAGCAGCAGTGTCAACTCTTCACAAGTGCAGCGAGCCTTAGATGATGTCTCTTCAGTATCAGATGCATCATCCCTGCAGCAGTCTCTTCAGACAACGCAGAACTTCAACCCGGGACTGTTCATGCAACAGTTTACAGACCAGATGATGTCGATGATGGAACGTCGCTTCGCTCAGGAGAAGGCTGCTATGAAGACCTCTACAACGACTACTTGCCTGCGTGAAGGTTCTACAGTCTCTCCACCGCATCCGGATGAAGAGGGAAGCCTGCGCGAAGGTTCACGGACACGACAATCTTCCCCATCTGAAGTGAGGAGTCTGGACTCCGCTACCAACGTCAGTTCAGCCGTAGACGCTCCAGAGATTGCTGCTAAGAAGTCTCCACGCAGAAAGAAATCGAGGCGTTCTCCTGAACCCCAAAGACATCGCAGACATGAGTCTTCATCTCCATCGGACTCTGACCACCATCGAGAACCTGCGTGAAGGCACTCCTACAGAGGGGAGCTACGTCCAGAAACCCACCTTCACGAAGACCTAGAGAATCATCTCAAGACTCCAGAAAGGATACAAGATCGCATTGGGATCGCTCGCCTGCGCGAAGCTCATCATGCAGATCATCCCATAGAGACTCAAGTCGTCATGGATCCATAGAGCGAGAAATTATAGGCGCAAATATTCCCTCTGGGTTGTGATAGATAACCTTTTCCTCCGTCACTTGGTGATGTGTTACAGACTCCCCTTAGATAAAATAAAAAAATTAATAACAAAGGGAAGTAATCCCTACCTAGATAACACTTGACCTCTCCTGATTACGTCCATTGATTGCTCTTCTGCCAGTGGTTATCAACACGTGTCATATTTTCCTCTGTACTCACCGGGTGTGGACGTGTTTCAAGACTTCCTTGGATTTTCACTTTTGTGTTCAAGTTCAACTTTATACAGTGACAGACTAGGTTCGTACTGTCGCATTTGTGCTAAGGAAATCGTATTTTTGCATATTCAACTCTTAATTGCCTAAAAAAATTTACAGTGTGAACTTGTTTAAATTTTCCCGCCATTTTGTAAGCCACGTGCGTTAGCGAAATTGTATCATGTCTCAGAAGAAATGTCTGGGCTGTCAGCGTTACCAGTCTGATAAGGACCCTCATTCATTGTGTTTGACTTGTACCACGGATCCTCCTTGTTCTTTAGCAACGCGTTGTTTATTGTGCCAGGATTTATCAGAAACTGACTGGACTTCTATGAATGATGCTAGGATTCGCGCAAAAACGACTTTGAACGAACACAATTTGAATCAAGACATGGTGACATCGTACATCTTGGACTGAGATGGGATTTTATCGCCAAGAACCAACTGCCCGGTCAGCCTGACAGACAGTTCCACATCCCAGCACTATCTACAGTCCTTGGGCCACAGGATACGCAGGATCTATCCTTATGCCCAGTCAGAGCACTTAAAGTCTACCTACAGAGAACTAAAAGAAGGAGATGAAAATTCAAGCACCTATTCATCCCCTTATCCACTGAGACGCCCACGGAAGTCTCACGGACAACGATATCGATCTGGATGAGAGCCGTTTTGCTAGGGCCTATAAAGCAGCAGGACTTGAGCCTCCATGAGCCTCCAACCCACACGAAGTCAGAGCCCTGGCGTCAACACTTGCTCTGCATGGAAACTGCTCGATTACAACTATAATGGAGGGCTGCTTTTGGAGATCGAACATGGTGTTTGCCAACCACTACCTCAGAGACATTGCCACCGAAGACGTCTCAGGCATTCACCAGTTTGGGCCACTTGTTGTAGCACAACAACTAACGGTTCCACAAAGGCGCTGAGTAAATCTCACCCCTTTTATCAACGTGACTTGTGAAAACCAACGCTCTGGAGAGCAATGGCTATAAGTCCATGCACATGTCTAGGACAGACTACTATGTACTTGTATAGGACATACTTGTACATGAAGAAGGGTCGCATCTCCACTTGATGCACACATCAAGAGATGGAGTTGCAATAGATAACTAACTAGTGAATCCAGAACGTGGCCTGACCCACCACCGTTTCCGACGGATTCTGCAAGCATAATTAGCATGAGTCAGGTTAAGGAAAAATATGTCATTTTCTGACTAAAATTGATATTTTATACTTATCCTGACTCATGAGCCCTCCCAACCTCCACTCTTATGGCACTCTGGATTTCCCTGTAAATCTGGGTGTCGGGCATACATACGGAGAGTGACAAACATGGCTGGTCATGTGACCAAAAAGGGCGCCAATAGGGAGGAAAGGGAGATTACTCGAGGGTGAGTGAGTGATTTTACGTCCGCTTTTTAAGAAGGGAACTTCAAGGGATTTCAAGTGTTCCACTATCATTCGCAAGAGGAAGGAGACAAGCATAATTAGCATAAGTAAGGATAAGTATAAAATATCAATTTAAGTCAGAAAATTACATAATTTTTTAAGGTAGAAACTGTCTCTGTATCTGTGGACAATATCCTCAGTGCCTTTTAATGATTTTGTCATTTTCTGAAGGTTTGTGGATATTATGCTGAATGGATTCAATTATAAAACCTTAAGTACAGTCAAGTTGTTTTGCCTAGCGTGTGACATAATGAAACACTTAACACGTGACCCCTTCAGTTAGCACATGCCACTCTCGCCAGGACAGACTGATCAGGGTGAGGACCGAGAGAAATAGAACCAGTTCAACATGTCAGAACTCAAAAAAGAAAACTAACTCTAAAGAGCTGTGGTGTTTTTAGTCTGTCTGGGGACCATGATGGGGATAGGGGTGTTGGTTTGGTTTGGTCTGGTTTGTATTTTAATGCCGCACTCAGCAATATTCCACCTATATGGCGGCGGTCTGTACAGATAATCCAGTGATCAACAGCATGAGCATCAATCTACGCAATTAGGATACGATGACATGTGTCATGGTGATAGATGTAGCAATATCTGATACTGTGATTTAATATCTGTGACCTAGTCTGTCCGTGGGGACCATTTGCAACTTATCTCTAAAGGAACACAAGCATGAGCATATGGGCCCTGAATCCATATTGTGAGATGAGTATTACGTTAAGGGATGTATCCTAACTTGAACTTGCTGTAGTCAGTCAAAGCTGGTTCTGTAACTTTTCTGCCCAGACTCCCCTCTGTGGGACAGCCATTGTCTTCTGAAAACAACTCCATCCAAAATGCTCTAGTGTAAGAATACATGCTTAACACATGTACTTAAATACCATCACTGCCTTGAACCAGACCAACAAGGTGATGCTGTTTCTGAGAGAGTCATTAAGATGTCAGTATATTGCATGTATGTAGCTGTGAAAGACGTATGTGTTGGAGAAGTCCCACTGACCACATTAGTGTACAGAAGCCACTCTCTGTTGTTCAGTACAACGTTTCTACATCAGTTGCCCGACATCATTAGAAAATGAACTCAAAAAGTACATGTTTGTGAGATCTTGTGTAAGGTACGTAATTATCTGCGCCATTAAATCATTCTCTAACAACAACATGGCATGAGCGAAGATAACTTGGCTAGGATCACAAATTGACAAAACAAGCGTGAAATTTACCAACCAGACTTGAATATGTTGTGGTTTGTGCG